TTCATATTTCACACCATTTGTATTTAATTAGAACTAGGCATATGACTGGTGCCTGAGGAATGCAAGGGTGGCAGAGCGCAAGAGGACGCTCTTCCCTCTCTCCCTCACACACCCTGGGTATCTGCTCAGAAGAGAGGGGACCCAGGACACCATTGCTAGATGGACAGTCATTCATCTGCAGTCTGTACCCCTTTTGAATGCATCCTGAACCCCTGGGACTCCTTTGAAGAAACACATTTTTCCTTTTTCTTCCTCTGTCCTCTCTTCGCAAATAGGTAATTGCGTCTTTGTAATCCAGGACACTCCCCACAGATGCATCCTCCAAACTGGAAAGAGTTAATTTCCCAAACTTGAACTGGTTGGCTTAGGACTGGGCTCAGGGGAAGGGAACCCAGAGGCACAACTTGCTGGCAAAAGGGTGAAGTTATTTTTACCAGTCAGGGTTTTGGCCTCCCTCTCCCCACGCAAACTTGTAAAAGGCCTCAGGAATTTTGAGCTGTCCTTATCCTTGCTTTACTTTGATGCAAGTTTTCTAATAACCAGGTTTGTCTCTTCTTGCCTTGAGGGCGTCAAATTCCAAACATTCTGCCAGGGATCCTTAGAATGGCCTCTGAGGGGCCCTGACTGCCATTTCCCCGACAAACAGCGCCCCTGTCGTTAGGAGGCGGTTAAGATTGTTCTTTGTTCTCACCAGTATCTTAGGGCAGTTAGATGTATTTCTTTAGATAGGGGAATGAGACAGCCGAGAGCAAAGGGGTTCCTGGAAAAACCGCAGCCAGCCTGTGCACTGGGAGGAGTGTGCACTGGGGTGGAGCCGCAGAAGCTCCTGCTGTTTGCAGTGGAGAGGAGCCTGGTCCCTCCTCTTCCTGGATGGAACCTGGGACTCAATGTGCCAGACAGCAACCATGCCAACAGTATTCTGGCTTTGCAGAAAGTCCCTGTTTCCCTTTCTTTTCACCCCCCTCGCCCTTCAAGTGATCTGTGAGCCTAATGTTCCATGGCCGTGTGATAAGGACCCTTGCCTTTTGCTGAAGGAAGGAAAGAGTCCTACAACAGGATGCAGGGAGTCAGACTTACAGCTGGCATGCTGCTGTCTTGCCTGAGATGCTCTGAACAGAATGGAATCTCAGCCTGACAGCCTAGCATCCGGCCCAGAAGTGGTCCCTGGGTGGAAACTGAGTCTTCCACAAGTCACTGGGCCAGGTCTGCTGGTGTCTGTTTGGGTCCGGATGATCAATTTCACCAGTGAGCTGGGATCCCTGAGCCAGGAAACCAATTTAAAAGCTGATTCTGAGAAGGCTTGTAGTCGAATGCTCTTAGCATCTTTATTTGTGAACCCCAAACTGGAAATAACAAATATCCATAACAGGAAAATGGATGAACAATTTGTGGTATATATTCATACAATGGGACCCTGCTTGGAGATTAAAATAAAGAAAAAACCACCGATACATACGAAAACATGGACAAGTTTCGAAAGCATTATTTAAGGGAAAGAATCCAGGCACTTAACAAACTCACACTCTATGATTTCATTTATGTGAAGTGAACAGACAGACCTAGCTGGCGCCTGCTTGGTGGTGGGGTATGGAGTTTGGCAGGGAAGTCACTCAGGCGGCATCCTGGAGGATGTGAACGTTCCATGTTGCAACTGGCCTGGTGGTTGCATGGATGCGCACGTGGGTCAAAACTTTTTGAATTATGCACCTAAAATGGTTACATCTTGTTGAGGTAATTGACATGTCTATAAAAAGTTAGGACAAAATAAAAGATAATTTAACAAGGCAAAAGTAAAGTGAAATCTAAGCTGGTGAACCCAGTGGGACCTGGGCAGATTCTCATTGTGCAAAGTGCCTAGACAGTGCAGGTTGTGACCCTCCCAAGGGTGTGACCTAGCACCGACTCCAGGCAGGGCCCTAATGGTCTAAACCTTGTATCATTCTCCTGCTGGTGACTGGTTCGCAGAAAGACACCAGAGAGGAATGAGGAGTGTGCTGGGCATTCCTCTTGGGGCAATATGTGTACTTCTAGATGAGAAAATTAAATGAGATTCTTTTTCTGTCTCAGTCTGCCTGCGGACCCCCAGAGTTCAGATGCTCACGCTGTCATCTCCCAGCTATGTCTCAGCTTCCTCATCTTTAAAATGGGGGTTTGCCCGGCGTGGTTGAGAGGATTTCCTCATTTAGTTCCCAGTACGTTTTTGAGCACTTGTGCTATGCCAGGGACAGTTCTGGGGGCTGAAGAATACACTAGTGAACAAAATTGACAACGTCTCCTCTATAAATGAGACGGGAAAGTAAAACCCATCACTCAGCATCCTGTTCACAGTAGCTTTTATTATGACAATTGAAACCGGGGCCCCAATATTCTGTGAAGGGGTGATTTTCAAAGACTGGTAAAACCTTAACTCATATTCAGGTATAAAAATGAACACATCTTAAAGACTTTACGGCATCCTCATCTTCCGTCCAAGTTGACCGCTTCCCTGCGCCAAAGTGAGTGGTAGCCAACATGTCAGAGTGGGGGTCGGATCACAAACCGAGCGCGATGAAGAGGTGGAAGAACAAGGAGAGAACTTGAAGCAAGTGGAGACCATGAATATTCAGGAAGAGATCGTGCGCGCTTTTTGGTGATGGCTCCAGGGCTGTGTTTGAATCTCAGAGTGAAGATGAGTGGACTCCTTTTGACAAGAGCATCCAGCGTATCCAAAGTGTGTACATCAGTAAGATCATAAGCAGCAATCGAGATCTCTCAGCAGTCGTGTTCTGTGGTACCGGGGAAGACAAAAATCCTGTGAATTTTAAAAATATTTATGTCTTGCAGGAGTTGGATAATTCCGAGGCAAAACGAATTCTAGAGCTTGACCAGTTTAAGGGGCAGCAGGGACAAAAACGTTTCCATGAGCTGATGGGCCACGGATCTGGCTGCTCACCCAGTGAAGTGCTGTGGGTCTGTGGCAGCCTCTTGAGTGGTGTCCAGTTCAAGATGAGTCATAAGAGGATCATGCTGTTCACCAATGAAGACAACCCCATGGCAATGACAGTGCCAAAGCCAGCCGGGCCAGGACCACAGCTGGTGATCTCCGAGAGACAGGCATCTTCCTTGACTAGATGCACCTGAGGAAACCTGGGGGCTCCGACACATCCTTGTTCTACAGGGATATCAGCACAGCAGGGGACGAGGACCTCAGAGAAACCTGGGGGCTCTGACACATCCTTGTTCTACAGAGATATCAGCACAGCAGGGGACGAGGACCTCAGAGAAACCTGGGGACCCTGACACATCCTTGTTCTACAGAGATATCAGCACAGCAGGGGACGAGGACCTCAGAGAAACCTAGGGACCCTGACATATCCTTGTTCTACAGAGATATCAGCACAGCAGGGGACAAGGACCTCAGAGAAACCTGGGGACCCTGACACATCCTTGTTCCACGGAGATATCAGCACAGCAGAGGACGAGGACCTCAGAGAAACCTGGGGACCCTGACACATCCTTGTTCCACAGAGATATCAGCACAGCAGAGGACGAGGACCTCAGATAAACCTGGGGACCCTGACATATCCTTGTTCTACAGAGATATCAGCACAGCAGAGGACGAGGACCGCAGATAAACCTGGGGGCTCTGACATGTCCTTGTTCCACAGAGATATCAGCACAGCAGAGGACGAGGACCGCAGAGAAACCTGGGGGCTCTGACATATCCTTGTTCTACAGAGATATCAGCACAGCAGAGGACGAGAACCTCAGAGAAACCTGGGGGCTCTGACATATCCTTGTTCCATAGAGATATCAGCACAGCAGAGGATGAGGGCCTCAGGATTCACTTTGAGGAATCCAGCAAGCTGGAAGACCTGTTGTGGAAGGTTCGTGCCAAGGAGACCAGGAAGTGAGCATTCAGCAGGTTAAAGCTGAAGCTCAGCAAAGATTGGTCCAACGATCTCTGTGCGCATTTATCACCTGGCCAGGCAATCTCTGTGGGCATTTATCACCTGGTCTGGCGATCTCTCTCTGTGGGCATCTATCACCCGGCCCGGCGATCTCTCTCTGTGCGCATTTATCACCTGGCCCGGCGATCTCTCTCTGTGGGCATTTATCACCTGGCCCGGCGATCTCTCTCTGTGGGCATTTATCACCTGGCCCGGCGATCTCTGTGGGCATTTATCACCTGGTCCGGCGATCTCTGTGGGCATTTATCACCTGGTCCGGCGATCTCTGTGGGCATTTATCACCTGGTCCGGCGATCTCTGTGGGCATTTATCACCTGGTCCGGCGATCTCTCTCTGTGGGCATCTATCACCCGGCCCGGCGATCTCTCTCTGTGGGCATCTATCACCCGGCCCGGCGATCTCTCTCTGTGCGCATTTATCACCTGGCCCAGCGATCTCTCTCTCTGGGCATTTATCACCTGGCCCGGCGATCTCTGTGGGCATGTATCACCTGGTCCGGCGATCTCTGTGGGCATTTATCACCTGGTCCGGCGATCTCTGTGGGCATTTATCACCTGGTCCGGCGATCTCTGTGGGCATTTATCACCTGGTCCGGCGATCTCTCTCTGTGGGCATCTATCACCCGGCCCGGCGATCTCTCTCTGTGGGCATCTATCACCCGGCCCGGCGATCTCTCTCTGTGCGCATTTATCACCTGGCCCAGCGATCTCTCTCTCTGGGCATTTATCACCTGGCCCGGCGATCTCTGTGGGCATTTATCACCTGGTCCGGCGATCTCTCTCTCTGGGCATTTATCACCTGGTCCGGCGATCTCTCTCTGTGGGCATTTATCACCTGGTCTGGCGATCTCTCTCTGTGGGCATCTATCACCCGGCCCAGCGATCTCTCTCTGTGGGCATCTATCACCCGGCCCGGCGATCTCTCTCTGTGGGCATCTATCACCCGGTCCGGTGATTGGGAGCTCAACCCCGTTCAGTGCTCTGCTCATCAAGTGTCTGGAGAAAGAGGTCACAGCATTGAGCAGATACACACCCTGGGAGAACACCCCCCCTTATTTTGTGGCTTTGGTGCCACAGGATGAGGAGTTGGATGACCAGAAAATTCAGGGGGCTCCTCCAGGCTTTCAGCTGGTCTTTTTACTGTTTGCTGATGATAAAAGGAGATGCCCTTTACTGAAAAAATCATGGCAACTCCAGAGCGGGTGCAGCAGCACTTCAGGGACCTGGAGGCCTTGGCCTTGGACTTGATGGAGCCTGAACAAGCAGTGGACCTGACACTGCCCAAGGTTGAAGCAATGAATCAAAGACTGGGCTCCCTGGTGGATGAATTTAAGGAGCTTGTTTACCCTCCAGATGACAATCCTGAAGGGAAAGTTATCAAGAGAAAACACGATAATGAAGGTTCTGGAAGCAAAAGGCCTGGGGTGGAGTATTCAGAAGAGGAGCTGAAGACCCACATCAGCAAGGGCGCGCTGGGCAAGTTCACTGCCCGTGCTGAAAGAGGCTTGCCGGGCTGAAGAGTGGGCTGAGGAAGCAGGAGCTGCTGGAAGCCCTCACCAAGCACTTCCAGGACTGACCAGAGGCCGCGCACCCAGCCGCCCTTCCACAGTGTGGCCAGGCTGCCTGGGCTTGTTCTCAGCCAGTTAAAATGTGTTTTTCCTGAGCTAGGAAGAGTCTGCCTAACAGAAGTCCAGGGATTTTATGTTTTTGAGGCTTTCTGTTGCCATGGTGACGGTGTAGCCCTCCCACTTTGCTGCTCCTTACTTTACTGTCTGAATAAAGAGCCCTAAGTTTGTACAAAAACAACAAAAAAAGATTTTGCTTAGCTAATTAATGAGAACACTGTAAAAATGTCATAACCAGTTAAAAGGAGAACAGATGGATGCAAAACTGGCTCTGGGAAAGAACAACTTTGCATTGCTATCAGTTATGTACAAGATCCAGTTGCAAAATATCTCCCATAGAATCAGAATCAGATAACCCAGACCAGTGCGTTCTAAGCTTTTCAACAAAGCACACGTTTTCCGTTTGTGTTGGCCGAGTGGATTTTCCGTATCATCTCAAAGAGCGCCCGGCAGTGCTGTTGGGGCTCTGGTGTGGTGGAGGCACAGGCCAGGAGCCGCAGCGCCGGCTGTCAGGGCAGGCTGCAGAGAGGAGTTGATGCTGCCTTATGCTGAAAGATCCTAAGTGTAAGCCAGGCACCCAGCAGGGAGCAGAGGGCCACACCAGGAGGAGGAGAGGTATTAATAAAGTCTGAATTGGTTAGAAGTCATAGAAACTGGCATGAGTTTGCTTAAGCAAGAAACGGGGGATTTATTACGTGGTCACAAAGTGTCTCTTGGGGCTTAAAGGCAGGGATGCAGGAGTGCCTCGGAGCGGCGCAGAAGCAGGGAATGTTCCCTATTTGCCGCCTTCACTCCTCCATGCAAAGCGGTTTCTTTATTCGGTAGTGACCATTGCGACAGGGAAGAGGATCAAGGGAATTGAACTCGGTTTTGACTTGTGCAGTGACACCTGGGCATTTTAAAGGGAGAATGAGGGAGTAGAGGGGAAGCAAGTGGGGGTGGAGCAGAGAGAGGCTGGGTTTGTTCATCCCGGGTGAACTCCTGCGGACAGCGCGGGTTGCAGCCAGGTGCCCCGGAGTCTCGGGAGAGGGAGAGCATTGACATTTGAATTTCAAAGAGATGGCTCTTTTGTCTTTGGGAAGACAGATCTGGAAAGATTCACATTTTAAAGGGGAAGAGACAGGATTTCCAACTGTCAGCAGCTTTCTAAAGTAACTGCTCAAAGGAGGTGGGGAGAGGTTCAGGCGCCTATGACTAGGTTTTTTCTGGAGCAAACAAACAGTAAATTCTCCTGGCAGCACTGAGGTTTCTGAGGTGGATACATTAAGAAGTCCAGGGTCATCCTATGGATGTGGCCCTGACCTACTAGAAACTGTTACTGTTTTTGCACATCTTATAGTGTGCAGGTGGACGAAAGCATTTGAGCTGAGTGTGCAGTTTTTCATAGGCCAAAGTTGAGGTCTTGTTGGAAAGAGGGCTGAGAGAGGCTTGTCTAAAGTTTGGTTAGGAAGAGACTCCTGACCAGCGTGGTGGCTTACGACTATAATCCCAGCACTTTGGGAAGCTGCGTGGGAGGACCTACTTGATTTCAGGAGTTTGAGACCATCGTGAGTCCCTGTCTCTACAAAATAAAAAAATATGAAAAGTTAGCCAGGCATGATGCTGTGCACCTGTGATCCCAGCTGCCCGGGAGGCTGAAACAGGAACATTGCTTAAGCCCAGGAAGTTGAGGTTGCAGTGAGCTAGATCTCGCCACTGAAGCCCAGTCTGGGGACAGAGCAACAAATTGTTTCAAAAAAAGAAAAGAAAAGAAAAAAGAACAGAGACCTTGTCACTCTCTCCCACAGGCTGGCTTCTTTTGTCTTCTGGTTCATGTGATAGAACACGGCTGCCTTGGGTGAATTCCCTAAAGGTAGAGCCTGGGACAGGGATTTGGGTCATCTGTTGGGGTAGTACTTTTAGGAGAAGCCTGTAATGGAGGGAAGAGGCAGATTAGGGAAGTAGGGCAAGCGTGTGGCCTGACCCAGGTGGAGGGGCCTTTGGGATGTAAATTCACGGCAGCATTGTCCTGCCCGGAGGGCTGCCCCTGTGTGCCATTGGCTGTTGGCTTGGGGTGGGGCAGGCTCTGTGCAGTGGGAGACTTTTCAGAGCAGGGCAGCTTTGACGTTAGCAGCAAACACAGCACCTGGGGGGTGGGTTAGCAGCCAATACCACCCTCAACAGGGGATCTGGCCAGGGCACTCACAACACACAGTTTGGGGCTGCCACCAACACCTCCTTTATTTGAGATATCAGCCAATCTGAGCCTGGAATCTCTTACATCAGTTTCCATCATCTCTGTGTGGTCTGTTGTACTGGAGCGAGTGTAGAAAGTCAACACCGAGACAGAAGGATGCCAAATTGTAGGCGGCTACGGAGGACACGCATCTCTCCAATCACCACCGAGACAGAAGTATGCCAAATTGCAGGCGGCCACGGAGGACACGCATCACTCCGATCAACACCAAGACAAAAGTATGCCAAATTGCAGGGCCTTTATTGCTGGTGGCCACGGAGGACTTGCGTCTCTCCAACCCGTGGCCCCGAAAGGAGGGCGCTAAGACCTCTTATGCCCGTAAAGCACCTCAGGGGTGACGGTGAGGGGTGGGGCTGAGGGTGAGGGGCTTCAGACATTCCCAGGGCCTGTGGATTCCATAAATCACCTCCTGGGCGGAGATGAGGGTGCGGGGCTCCAGACATTCCCAGGGCCAGGGGACTTTTGTCACTCTGATTGTTACTTAAGTGGGTTACAGAAGTCAAGATAAGCGTTAGTTCACACATTGTCTGGGTATGGGTGGAAATTACAGACCTTAGTTACTTATTACAAGTCGCAGGGGCCAAGATGGCGTGGGTTTGGACTGCTTGCCTGTCACATTAGGGTCACAGAAGGCAGTTTCAACACAAAGCCAAGGTATGTTTGAGGTATGCAGGTTTATGGGGCTTTTACCATGTCACAGTCTGGAGGCCAGGTCCACACGTCCAAGTGGCATAGGCCCCGGAGGCGCCTGTGACCCAGGGATGCCACTCACGTCGGATGCCGTTCACATGGGATACAAAGGGTAAGGTTCTTTTGGAGTAGGTACTAAAGGGGCCTTAGCAGTGAGGGTGAAGGGCATTTCCAGAAAACGAGTTTGTGAAAAGTAGTGCAGGTCATAACTATCCCCCAAATGTGGAACTGAGGCGGAGCAGGGGGACAACGAGGCCGGACACGTCAGCAGGACCCGGAGCACGGAAGGCTTCGCCTGTTTTTACCTGTTAAGGGTTTTTACCCATTCTTCCCCTCAAGTGGGGAAGCTGGCAGAGAGAGGCAAAATTATAAAAGGGGCTTTCACTTCAGAGCTCCTCCCAAAGCCAACCTCCTGAGTGGGGCCTGCACTTTGAGCCCTGTGGAACTGTGTCATCCTCTTCAAAACTTAGCTGTCCCATGTCCCATTTCCTTGCACAAGAGCTGGCTAATCTGGTAAATACCTAACACATGTCATAAACCAAAAATAAAATTCTAAACCCCACAGTGGACTCAATGGACCCGTTCTGGGCCAAGGGGATCTCCAGGAAACCTGGAAATGTGATTCAGGTCATGAGGGAATGCAGGGTTAATCATACCGTCCTTCTCTGGAATTGAGGCACAACGGACCAGAATTGACATTAAAGCAGAGATCTGAACAGCAAAACAGACGCTTTGTCGCAGGAAGATATCGAATTCCAGTGTGACTCTGGAGTAGTATCACGTGACAGAGAGTAGGCAAAGGGTTTTACCCCCAGAGAGATTTCTTTGGTATGTTTTAAAATGGCCCGGCTGAGCAGCCTCTTGTGGGGGAAGTTTGCATTCTGTAGAGAATCTCTTTCCCTTGCCAGGTCTTTTCCAGAGTCTGGTGCCTTTTAAGGTCGGATAAGAGACCCTTGCCACCTGTTGTCCCTGAAGCTCGCTACCTGATGGCATCACCTACATGACCAGAACCTTGGTTTTCACAACCTTTCTTAATCTAAACTCAAGAAATCTTCAAATCCACTTATGACCTGGAAGCTCCCTGCTTCAAGATGTCTGGCCTTTCTGGGCTGAACCAATGTTTTAAAATGGCCCAGTTTTGATTTATGTCATTGCCTGTAACTTCTGTCTTCCTAAAATATAATAAAACCAAACTGTAACCCAACAGCCTTCGGCACATGTTCTCAGGACCTCCTGAGGCTGTGTCATGGTCCATGGTCCTTAACCTTGGCAAAGCCAACCTCTAAATGGATTGAGACCTGTCTCAGATACTGTATTAGTCCATTTTCACACTGCCTGAGGCTGGGTAATAAAAGAGGTTTAATGGACTCACAGTTCCACATGGCTGGGGAGGCCTCAGGAAACTTACAATCATGGCAGAAGGCATAGGAGAAGCAGGCACCTTCTTCACATGGTGGCAGGAGCGAGGGAGAAGGGGGAGGTGGCACACTTTTAAGCCATCAGATCTTGTGACTAACACCAGAACAGCATGGAGAAAACCTGTCCCTGTGATCCCATCACCTCCACCAGGTCCCTCCCCTGATGCGGGGGGTTTATAATTTGAGCTGATTTGGGTGGGGACACAGCACCAAACCATATCATTCCTCCCCTGGCCCTCCCCAATCTCACATTCCTCTTACATTTCAAAACCAATCATGCCTTCCCAATACTCTCTGAAAGCCTTAACTCATTTCGGCACTAACTCAAAAGTGCAAGTTCCAAAGTCTCATCTGAGACACAGTAAGTCCTTCTGCCTCTGAGCCTATAAAATAAAATACTAGTTACTTCCAAGATACAATGGGGGTACAGGCATTGAATAAATGTTCCTGTTCCAAATGGAAGAAACTGGCCAAAACTAGGGGGCCATCGACCCCCTATAAGTCTGAAACCTGGCAAGGCACTCATTAAATGTGTGTGTGTGTGTGTGTGTATGTGTCAGAATCTCACACTGTCACCCAGTCTGGAGTGCAGTAACATGATCTTGGGTCACTGCAACCTCTGCCTCCCAGATTCTCATGCCTCAGCCACACACTCAAGTAGTTGGAATTACAGGTATGCACCACCACACCCGGCTCATTTTTGTATTTTTAGTAGAGACGGGTATCTTCATGTTGGCCAGGCTGGCTTTGAACTCCTGGCCTTAAGTGATCTGCCCACCTCAGCCTCCCAAAGTGCTGGGATTACAGGTG